ACCACCTGAGTTCACAGTTCACCATTCTATGTGTTTGGGCCACACACACCACTGCAACTGCCCCAGAGGTGGCGGCTTGTGCTGCAGAACCTCCCGAGGCGGTGGCGTCCGTTCCAGTCCTTGGATCCAGTCCCGAACCTGCTCCAGTCCTTGAATCCAGTCCCGAAACTGCTCCAGTCCTTTAACCCAGTCCCGAACCTGCTCCATTCCATGAATTATCTCCCGAGCCGGCTCCAGTTCCCTCGTCACGGCCAGGAGTGCCATTTCCAATGACTCCAGTTCCCTCGTCACGGCCAGGAGTGCCATTCCCTGTTCCCACCTCCAGAGGTGGTAGCTTCTGCTGCAGAACCTTCAGAGGCAGCGGCATCCGCATTTTAACTCTCTGCCAGTCCAGCCACGGCCAAGGAGGCCATTGATGAACTCTCTGCCTGTCCTGTCACAGCTATGGAGGCCGCCTGTGAACTTCTCTGCCTGTCCTGTCATGACTATGGAGGCCGTCTGTGAATTCTCTTCCTGACCTGTTATGGCTAAGAAGGCAGTTTTTGAACTCTTAGTCTGTCCTGTTCCGGCCAAGGAGGTCGGTTCTGAACTCTGTAACTGTCTTATCGTCACCCTGTTTTGGCCAAAGATGCCATTTCTGAACTGTCTGCCAATCCTGTTACGGCCACTGAGGCCGTTGTTAACCTCTCTGTGCTCTATGTTCCAGTTCTGCCTGATCCGCCTGGGTGGTATCCTGCACCATCAGATCCGCTGAAGTGGTCTTCAGCTCCATCAGCTCAAGGAGCCGTGGGCATCTTCGGTCCCGTCTGCTCAGCTGTGGTGGCCACCTGCTCCGCCGTGGGGGTCTTCAATCCCGTCTACTCTGCTTTGGTGGTTGTCTGCGCTGCCGTGGGGACCTCCGGTCCCGTGTGCTCTGCTGTGGGGATTTTCGGTCCCATCTGCTCTGCTGTGGTGGTCATCTGCGCCGCCGTGGGGATATTCGGTCCCGTCTGCTCTGCTGTGGTGGTCTTCTGCTCCGCCCTGGTGGTCCTTAGCTCCACCCTGGCTCCCTGCTACCCCGGCTCGGCCCTGGCTCCCAGGTCTTCCACCACTGCATGGACCTGGCCCTCCATCCCTCCCCCTGTTCCGCCTTTAGTCTATTCGGTTGGAGCGTCTGGAAGCCACTCCTTGGTGGGGGGCTCTGTCACGATCTCTAGCTGGAGTTCCCGTAAGCTTCTCTAGAGGGCTCTCCATTACAGACTCTTGCCTCTTTTCCCCGGACTTCATTCCCCATAATCCTTTGCCTGGACTCATTATCACTGATTGCGTTCACCTGTGTCTTGTTACCTCATCTGTCTCACCCTATTTAAAGCCTGGTTTCTCAACATTGATTTATTTATTTATTTATTTAACCAGGGAAAAGGCCTCTGTGGGATTAATATATATAGGGAGTTAAAAAAAAAAAAAACTAATAAAACACCATACATAATATAATATCATAATATAAGTCCATCCCCTTAAGACAATTAGTAAATTTTATTTCTAAAGCATATTTAAAGTCAGCTGACACTGACCAGAGTGCTCTACAAAAGACACATAATAAAAAACAGTTAAAATAGGTAGTTCAATACGAAATCAGCTAAAAACAACAACAGATACGCAATGAATAAAATAAATATGATTAAATAAAAATAAATAAATATACAATTAAAAATGCATAATTTGATTTAAAATTTAGAATTAAATGAAGAGCAAAGAAACACATTACGAGCAATAAAACGAGTGTTGAGGTATCTGAAAGTTTTCAAACAAGAACAGTGAGCGATTTTTCTCTTTTTATCAACATTACTGTTGTTTGATTATTATATACATATCCTGTGCAACAAAGTCTTTCTAGATTACCCTAGTATTTCACGTCAACTTTTCAGAATTTTATAGAGATTCAGAAACATAGGACTTTTGTGTGGAATTGGCAGCAAACTTTGGAAGTTTGTTTCCACCAACATGAAAGAAAATCATAATAAAAGTCATAATTGTGAATCAATTATTCAATTGATTCAAATCAATCTTATGAATCAATTTAAAGTAGTTGAAGAAAGAATCATGACTCATCAGAGAATCGTTTGTTTCTCCCACCACTAACAGACAGACAGTCAGGTTTGGAGGAAGATGCACAGACAGACAGAGAGTTGTTTCACACACCTGTATGCGGCTCTTTCTCGTCGCTCCCCAAAGAGTTCAGGTCGAACCTGCAAACACACACAGACAGTGAGACACCACTGAATCATGCATCAGGTGTCGTCCTTCACTAGTTTAAGAAGTGACATTAATGTTTAACACAATTTACAATGTTTGTTTTGTCTTACTCTATGTTTGCTCTGCGGTTAATGGAGTTCATACAGGGAGGAAAGGGAAATGTCGAGAGCCTGTTGATGTCCTTCTCCGTGTTACACTCCTGCACAATCACAAAACATACAGTGAGATTCAAACACAGGACATGATCGTCACTGCACCACAGTGAAAATACAAATGTATTCACCGGCATGAGCAGATTCTCCTCCGAATTAGAGCAGCAGGAGTCTGTGACACAAACACATAACAGCATCAAAAACAACATCAACAAGCTTTACACAATACAGATGGTTTCAAGGCAGCTTCAGGGTAACAAAATAACAGAATAACAGAGTTAATGTTGTAAAATTCATAAATTATGAAACAATCTCAGCTGTAAAGCAGCTCTACAGAAGACAATAGTGGCATTATCCAGTTCAGTTAGATCAAATTCTGTTTTTATTCGTGTCAGTGCAGTTAAATTGATAATATTACTGAAACTGCACAAATGAACACACATTAACACTCACCTTCAGACTGCTCACAGATCTGAGCTCCAGAGGCTGACTGTAAAAACACAATAACAACATGAGAGAACAAACACACACATGTGCAATGATAAAAGAACTGTATGTTTGTGTTTGTGAACTCTGACCTTCAGCTGAGCTCTGAGTGTGAGTGGACTGGGACTCAGACCAACTGAACAACACGGCCCGAAACACTGATCCTCGCTGAACAACGACAGGTGAGACTACAGAAACACACGCACATACACACAGGTCAGTGAATGCATAGTATAGTATAGTATAGTATAGTATAGTATGGTATAGTACAGTGTGATACAGTACAGTGTACTGTAGTACAGTATAGAACAGTACAGTACAGTGTAGTGTAGTACACTAAAGTATGGTACAGTATAGTGTTGTACAGTGCAGTATAATGTAGTGTAGTATAGTACAGTTCAGTATAGTACAGTAAAGTATAGTGTAGTACACTAAAGTATAGTACAGTATGGTGTAGTACTGTACAGTATAATTCAGTGTAGTATAGCACAGTGTAGTATTAATAGTACAGTACAGTGCAATATAGTGTAGTATAGTAAAGTACAGTGCAGTGGACTATAGTGTTCTACAGTACAGTACTGTACAAATGTTTGTTTTGTCTTACTCTATGTTTGCTCTGCGGTTAATGGAGTTCATACAGGGAGGAAAGGGAAATGTCGAGAGCCTGTTGATGTCCTTCTCCGTGTTACACTCCTGCACAATCACAAAACATACAGTGAGATTCAAACACAGGACATGATCGTCACTGCACCACAGTGAAAATACAAATGTATTCACCGGCATGAGCAGATTCTCCTCCGAATTAGAGCAGCAGGAGTCTGTGACACAAACACATAACAGCATCAAAAACAACATCAACAAGCTTTACACAATACAGATGGTTTCAAGGCAGCTTCAGGGTAACAAAATAACAGAATAACAGAGTTAATATTGTAAAATTCATCAATTATGAAACAATCTCAGCTGTAAAGCAGCTCTACAGAAGACAATAGTGGCATTATCCAGTTCAGTTTAGATCAAATTCTGTTTTTATTCGTGTCAGTGCAGTTAAATTGATAATATTACTGAAACTGCACAAATGAACACACATTAACACTCACCTTCAGACTGCTCACAGATCTGAGCTCCAGAGGCTGACTGTAAAAACACAATAACAACATGAGAGAACAAACACACACATGTGCAATGATAAAAGAACTGTATGTTTGTGTTTGTGAACTCTGACCTTCAGCTGAGCTCTGAGTGTGAGTGGACTGGGACTCAGACCAACTGAACAACACGGCCCGAAACACTGATCCTCGCTGAACAACGACAGGTGAGACTACAGAAACACACGCACATACACACAGGTCAGTGAATGCATAGTATAGTATAGTATAGTATAGTATAGTATGGTATAGTACAGTGTGATACAGTACAGTGTACTGTAGTACAGTATAGAACAGTACAGTACAGTGTAGTGTAGTACACTAAAGTATGGTACAGTATAGTGTTGTACAGTGCAGTATAAATAGTATAGTATAGTATAGTATAGTATAGTATGGTATAGTACAGTGTGATACAGTACAGTGTACTGTAGTACAGTATAGAACAGTACAGTACAGTGTAGTGTAGTACACTAAAGTATGGTACAGTATAGTGTTGTACAGTGCAGTATAATGTAGTGTAGTATAGTACAGTTCAGTATAGTACAGTAAAGTATAGTGTAGTACACTAAAGTATAGTACAGTATGGTGTAGTACTGTACAGTATAATTCAGTGTAGTATAGCACAGTGTAGTATTAATAGTACAGTACAGTGCAATATAGTGTAGTATAGTAAAGTACAGTGCAGTGGACTATAGTGTTCTACAGTACAGTACTGTACCATGCAGTTTAGTGTAGTGTAGTACAGTACAATATGGTACAGAACAGTTTAGTATAGTACAGTATGGAATGGTACAGCACAGTATGCATTATAGTCATCAACAGTATATATAGTATATAGCATAGTATGATACAGTAGAGTATAATTTAGTACAGTAAAGTACAATACAGCATAGAACAGTACAGTGCAGCATGCTATGTATTATAGTCTACTTTTTAATATTTTTGTAGTATATAGTATAGTATAGTGTAGTATGGTGGCATTATGGTAGTGGTTTTTCAGACACCGGACCCACTTGAGAAGCACAAGCATGCCATGTGTATTGTGTAGTGTGTAGTGATGCAGACGTACGCAGTGCATGGAGGTGGTGCTCTGCTCTCTCCGCTCTCGGTTTCTCTCCGTCTCTCTCTGCAGCTGCTCCAGGCTGCTCTGCAGCTCCGCGATACGTTTGCGCAGACGGTTCTTATCCAGGAGGCAGTCGGTGAACTCCAGCTGCAGACTGTCACGACTGCGCAGCGCCTTCAACACACGCGCAAACAGAAGTGTTTAGTGTTTAAGCGCATGTTTATGCATGTGTGTGTGTGTGTTTGGTACCTGGTCTCTCTCTCTCTCCAGTTCCATGATCTGGTTGAAGTAGGACACACTCCTGCTCTGCTCAGTCTCCCAGTCCAGCTGCAGAGTCCTGAGACGCAGCTGCAGCTGCTCACACTGAGACGCCAACTAATTAATACATTGGTCTACATTAGTGAGGACGACTCACAGAATTGATATTTACTCAAACATCCATAAAGATCGGTTCGTTATTTTAGTATCATCAATGTGCTATTTTAGTTTTTATTCATCTTTTGAATTCGTTTTTATTTTATATTTTCCATTTACTTTAAATTTTAGTTCTTTGGATATGTGGTTTAATCATTTTTATTAGTATTTTTAATGTCTATATAGTTTTTTGTAATTTTATCAAGTTAAACTAAATGAAAATGAGAAATTTTTACAAACATTTTATTTCAACTAGTTGATTTTTTATTATTTTATTTTATTTCAGTTAACATTTATTTCATTTCCAGCAACACCTTTTTATGGTTTTAGTTGTAGTTTCAGTTAACGATAACCCTGATTTATAGTAAAACATGACTTGGTTAATTTACAAGTGTTTTCAATAGTGACATTTAGCAGTAAACAGTATTGAGTTTACTTGAACTGTATTATATTCTGTAGAGCTGCTTTACAGTTGAAAACAAAGATGTACATAATTATAAGTGAAATGACTGAGTGCTGGAACTAAAGAACTGTTTTTCTGGTTTATTACAGTAAAAAGCGCCATATGAATGAACCTGACTTTTATTTTGTATGGACCTTTAATTACTTTTATCTTCCAAATACATATTATTTCAATGTCAAATCCACTTTCACAGTGCAAACCAAACTACTAAGCATACTATCTGTGTCACATATGGGGAAAACATATGAGTGGTATGTTAGTATTTGATTCCACACTGAGACTATAAACCCCACAGACACGCAGAGGTTTGCTCTCACTTTCTCTCTCTGATTCTCGGAGCTCTCCAGCTCCCCCTGCAGTTGAGCGATGGTGCTGCTCAGCTCCTGCCGCTGCTCCGCCGCCTCCCGCCGGTCCTGCTTCAGGATGTCCAACAGAGCCTACAGACACACACACGATACATCAGACAACGGACACACACTCCTGTAAGCGTCGGCCGAGCGTCTCGCGTGACTCTGACCTGATTTCCAGAGTTCAGCTCTCTGTTTCTCACGGCAAGCGGTGGTGTCTCCTCCAGTCCTGTGGGGGCGCCGTCACACACTCCGCTGCTTGTGTGATGCGTCAGTGAGGGGGCAGAGCCATCGTGAGCTCGTTTCTCCACCTCCTGTAATCTCTTCCTGAGCTGCTCCACCTGTCCGTGGCATCATCACATGGACACGCCCACTATGAGCCTGACATGAACTGTGTGTATCTGGAGTGTGAAATACTGATGATGTCGACTACCTCTGTGAGCAGATCTCTCTCACGCGCTGCAGCTTTACGTTGCTCCTCTAACGCTCGCGCATATTTCACAGCCTGCTCCAGATGTCTCTCCTTCAGCAAACCCAACTCACGACTGCCAGACTCACAGTCCTGCCTCAACCTGACCCACAAACACACACATAGAAACAGATCTACATTTATGTGTTTAGCAGGTGCTTTTATCTGAAGTGACTCACAATGCATTTCAAGTACACATTTTTATAAGTTCAAGCATTTCCTACATTTATATGGAGTAATATAACAGACAAAATGAAATACACATATATGGAAATGATTAAAAATGTCTTGCGATAAATTGCAATAAATAAAATGTTAGGCGTGAAATATGAACTACATTTATTTTTTCATGAAAAATACATATATTATTATAATAGTTCATTATATAAATAAAAATAAATGAAATAAATGTATTGCACACCTTATTTATGCTGTACAGTATATAATTTTAGTATCACTGAGATGCTTATATTTTAAATTCGATTTTACTGTTCTATTTTTATGTACATTTTTATTTTAGTTCAAGTTTTAGTAATTTTGTTGTGTTTTTTTTTTCAAATGTCTATACAGATTTTATACATTTTTATTATAGTTTTAGTTATTTTAGTATAACAGGTTTTTTTTTAATGAAAGTAACAAAAGTGTAAAGTTCGAGACGAAATCAAATGTTAATAGGTTTTCGTTCTGATATGTGTGTTTTCCTCACCTCTCCTGTTGTATACGGTCCTGTCGCAGCTCCTGCACTTTGCGCTCAACTCGACTTCTGTCCTCCTCGGCCATGCGACAGCGCTGAGACAGACGCCGCTCACACACACGACTGCAGTGCAACTGCTCTCGCAGCTTACGAACCTCCAGCAGCAGAAACTGAGTCAGACCCTCAGGACCCTCCTCATCTGCACACACAACATCAGAAAAACCACACTAACAAACAGATAAACCTGCTGCCTGCGTGCTGATTCAAGTCTCTTTCTAGAGGAAGATTTGGTCTCTCTCTCTCTCTCTCTCTCTCTCTATATATATATATATATATATATATATATATATATATATATAGTATATACAGTATATATTACTTTATTGAATTAAATACTCATTATTTGTCTTGTTTTCCAGTGCAAATATCTAAACATTCTAAAATCAAGTTGAATGAGAAGCAAAATTATTTACATATTTTATATCTTATTTTCTGATAAATTTATCAACATTAATTTATAAATTTGTTCTTGTTTGAAGCATAAACCCACATGATTTTGATAAATGTATTCCTGTTGTATGCACAAACTGACATATCTTTGATAAAATTGTTCTTGTTTTAAGCATAAACCCACTTCATTTTGAGAAAATATGTCCCTTTTTTTAACATAAACTCACCCAATTTTGGTGAGACATTTATCATGTTGTCATACCTCTGAAATACATCATATGCACACAGTGCACAGTATGCAAATAATGTTTGGATGACATATTTAATATACATAAGTTCAAAATTAAAAATAACTACATTTCCAAGAATAATTTATAATATATTCTGTTATATAGTAGTATGCTAGTATAGGATTGTGAACACAGCCATACTCACCCAGCATGATGGAGCAGCGTTGTGTCGGCTGTTGTCCGGTCAGCTGCGTGAACTGCTCCGGATGGTAAAACTCCAGTGACTCCATGAAGGCCTGGAGACCGCGCTCGCCACGCCCCCTCAGGATGTCCAATAAACGCCCTGAGCACAACAGCCAATCAAATCAGTGCACACGGATACTGACACACACGTCCACCAATCACATCCCACTCCACACTGATTCTCTGCATCCAGATTCACATACTCACACACTCTGAAGTACTGTATGTACTTTCCTCTAGTGATGGGAGAAATGGAATGAATCAGTTGAACTGAATCAACTGAACCAATTGCTTCGCAAAGTGATTCACCATTGTAAACAGATCAGAAAACATGCTGATGACACTGGCTGGTCAAAACTGTGTAAATGCTATCAGAACTCAACCGAACCATGTTGAAAAATGTGTTTAAAAGACGCTTTTACAACCAATTCCTATTGCAAATGTTTTGATTAAGGAGTCATCTATTAAATGCAATCTAAAAATGCAAATTGATTCACTCGTTTGAAGCTCTTGAAACTAGTCGAAACGGTGTGAATGCAATTAGAACTCGGTCCAAAAATACATAGACACTTTTTATAAAGCAAATTAAAATCTTTTCTACAAGTGTAATCTATTAAACACAGTCTGCGAATGCTAAATTATTCACTCTTTTTAAGCTATTGAAACTGGGCAAAATGGTGTACATGCAGTAAGAACTCACACAGACTTTTTCAAAGCAATTGCAAATGTTTCCATGATTTGGTTACCTAGTACTTTTTTTGTTCGTTTTTTTTCCATTTATCCACACGTTTGTTATTAAAACTGAACCTTAATTATAAAGCTGACCCCAAATGAGTTAAAAACATGTTAGACACTGGTTCATTGAATTCAGCAGATTTTTTAAAAATGTCAAAAATAGTAGTATATTGCAAAACAAACACTTGCAATAGTATTTTTTCTTTTTTCATGACTCAAATTCTCATATTCAGTACATCTTCAATTTATTTATTATACTTGATATTTTTTAATAAATAAATTGACTTTTTTGGGTAAGAATCTGCTACTATCGATTTTTCTGGTAGACTGCAATTGCTGTTTGGTCTTTGACAGTCATAAAAAAAAATTGAAAAGTCAAACTCGCAATATATATGTTTTTTCTCTGGCTTTTGGTTTTTACGTTTTTTTATTTTATTATACATGTCTTTTTATACCACTTCACGTAAGTCCTTTGGCATGAATAAAGAGGCAGCGTTTGAAAGGCGTCCATCACTACTTCATGTGCCATGTTTTGCATCTCACCGGCTCTGCTGATCCTCAGCGGATACTGACTGGAGTTCAGCACCTCGTCCTCGTCCTGCTCGTCGATCACCTTGCACTGTCGCAGATACGGCGTCAACTTCGCCGGGTTTAAAATGCGGGTCAGTTTGTGTCGCACTCCTTCCACTCTCTCCCACAGCTCCTCGTGCTTCTCCTCCTCTGACGGAGACATGAGCGAACTCTCGTCTCCCAGTGGCCATTCACCTGCGAAGAAAAAAAAAAAAAAAAAGAAGACTTTTATGATCTTACAATCATAACACGAAGCAGCTGCTACTCAAGTGGCTCTTTTCAAGTCTAGGTGGTGTGGGAACCAAGAAACATGGTGCCTGTTTCCTGTTTTTGTGGTTGCTTTAGCTAGTATTTCAAAAATGGTCAAAGGTCAAAAACATTTGGGTCAAAAGACACCTACAAACCTAAACAAGAAATCATCAACACTCCAGATGGGAGCTATTCATCAAATTCAGGACAAACTATATTCTTAAAACTAAAGATTCCTATTGGGGTTTTCGCAGTGATAAAAGAAACATAAAAGAAACATTTTGGATTCCCAAAGAACTCTTAAAAGAGCCATTGTTTTCTTAGTCTGAAGAACATTTTAATAACCCAAAGACCCTTTTTTCATTATAAAGAACCTTTCGTCCAATGAGACGCAATCTGGTAATGCAGCACTGTAACAGCTCAATCGTTTTAAACACTTTTTAAAAACAATATTGAACCTTACAATTTAATGTTTTTAAGTTGTTGATATACATCAAAAGTTGAGAAAATAGAGCTTTTATTTGTGGAGAAAATCTGCACTGGACCTGAATCAACACAAATCACTGACTTGCTTAAATTAATTTTTTAAAGAAAAAAACTCACTTAAAAAAATGCTAACGTGAATGGATGGAAAAATGATGGAAAAATAATTTGTTTCTTCTCAGGTCGATTTGGTAAAAACACATTCATTCAAAATCATTCAAGTATTTATTTAAAGGGGTGGTTCATTGCGATTTCACTTTTTTAAGGTTAGTTAGTGTGTAATGTTGCTGTTTGAGCATAAACAATATCTGCAAAGTTACGAAGCTGAAAGTTCAATGCAAACGGAGATATCGTCTTTTAAAATTCTGGCAGTTTAATGCCTACAAAAACGGCTGGTTGGGACTACAACAAGTTACTTCCCGGGTTCGTGACATCACAAACCCAGATAAACCCCGCCCTCGGGAAAAGGCAGCAAAGGGGGCGAGGCCTGCACTGCTTTAGAGAAGAGGAAGAGAAAACTAGAGGTGCACGTAAAAATCTATTCATATATGAATCGCGATTCTGTCTTTCAAAATCAATGTTCAAAAGCAGCAGTTCTCAATACTGTTACCCTCTGCTCTGCACATGCTCTGCATCTCTCTCTCTCTCTCTTATTCAGCTCAGCTCCAGCAATGAACTGTTCTAATTATACACTTATTTTCACATAGCTATGAGAAGCATTAAACATGGACGCGCGCAACACACTGGGCTAGCTAACCAATCAGAGCCCATCACCTATTTCTGAGGGCGGGGCTTCATAAAAACAGGAAAAGATCAGCCCGTTTCTCAGAGAAAGGACAGAGCGGTGTGGAATAAAGGTAAATTATGTGAAAAATAATGCGTTTTTTAAAAAGCGAAGCATTAACACATGTTAGACTGCACCCCATTAACACAATCAAGCCTAGAAAAAACCCAGTGAACCACCCCTTTAAAATGGAGAACAAATGCATGCAACACTCTCACAGCAATTCAAAACTATTTTACACGGTAAAAAAATATTTTTAGGTATAACTTGTAAATAAAAATTATTCGAGTAAGTTTTATAAGAAAATACAATTTCAGTCTTTCTACCACAAAAAAAGTCAATGTTTACTAATGTGTTACTTGCTGTTTCTTTGTAATTGCGAACTTTACTAGCAATTTCTGAGTGAAAATTGTTTTCTACACCAGGTTTTTATTTTTATTTATTTATTTTTTCAGTTTATGTATTGGTGAACTGGTATCTTTGTATGATATCGAACAATCTCATTCACTCAGTTTGTGTTTGTATGATATTTATGCTCCACTGATGGTTTAGAGGTGGACTTTCAAGCTGACTTTTTTCGAAAAACAAAACAAAAAAACAATTCTGTTGAAATCACATCATAAAAATTCACACAAAATTACCTCCTCTTAAAATAGTTTGGTTTTCTCATGAGATTGGGGTGAATGCATGTGATGAAGGTGATATCACAGAATCACACAATACGCAGATGTGAGAATCAAATTCACCGCATGAAGAGCAAAAGATCTCACTGCTGGGGAATGCAGACCGTACCATCCAGACCTCTCACTGCACACGAGATATAATCAGAGAAACAGACCGATAACGCTGCTAGAGGGAAACAAAAACTGCACTTTCATCCAGGCCTGCTTATACCTGCACACCAAAATGTTACTGCTCTGAGGTTTCTCGGGAGACTTGACATAGATATCCGTTACGATTCATTTAACCATCACCTTTGTCTAGATACTTCTACTAAAATTCCTTCACAGGAATAAAAAACACACCCGAACGACTCATCCAGTGAGAGCGCAGAGCTATAAAATCATTCATGTTGAGATCTTTTAATGTTGAGTTCTTCATGTTGAGAACTTTTAATTGCAGACTTTGTCAAATCTGAGCAGAGTTTGAGGCATTAAAAAGGTCTTATTTGTGATTTTCTCATCTAGAAGCACAAAAAGACACGGTTTCCAAACAAACTCTGGTCTTCGTCCTGAGAGATGATGAAGATTAGGGGTGTGTGAGGGGTTTGTGTGCGTCTGTGTTCAGGTCAGGCAGGTCCAAACACATGCTGGAATCTCAATGAATGCCTCATAGTGAAGGAATCCAGTGCAGGGAACTACAAAACATTACTGCACACTAACACAAGCACGCTACACACATACACTATAATAGACATCGTTATAAACAAAACACACAACACTACAGTAATATTAACAGTCAGTGCTAACATAAAAATACTAATATGCTAAACTTAAGTTGTAAATAAAACAACGATTATTGAAGTTAAAAAAACGTACTCTTTCAGTCTTAAATTGTCATGTTTAATTCACTTGCACTTCAGTGCACTTCAACTTGTAACCCTTTGTAATTACTTGTGAAATTGACTACCAATTTTTGAGCGAAATTTGTTTCAGCATAAATCCTACAACATTTATTTTTCATTATAGTACACTAACTGACACTATACTAACAAGCAATCGACTTCATTACACACTAATAGTGAAAACAAGAATGAGACAATCACCTGTGCGCCGCCCCATAATGTCGCATCGATCATTGAATCAAACATTTGATTAATTAGTTGATCTTATTATTAATTGATCTTAAAGTTCTTACCGCTCATGATCCGCAGGTGATGAACGAGTGAGATTAGAGGAATGAAAACAACAGCGACACTTCAGACTCTCTCTCTCTCTCTCTCTCTCTTTCTCTCTTCAGACTCTCTCTCTCTCTCTCTCTCTCTCTCTCTCTCTCTCTCTCTCTCTCGGGAGTCAACGCTTCATTGACATGTTTACACGCGACTCTCTTTCATCTGCACTATTTAAATTTAAACTTCATGACTCGATTTAACGCAATTATTTTAGAGAAATACCGCTCAGACAATGTCCGGAGAAAAATAGCCGAAAACACAAAATGCCCGAGTCACGCAACAAAATAGGAAAGTCACGGTCAAAAGTTCGTGTGGCAATGCTCGTGTTAATTTTTAACTAATATCCGGCGTGATTAGTCACATTCCGGGCGGGTCAGAGAGTTCAGTGACCTGTTAGTTCATGTCCGTGAGGATGAGGAAGGATCCACTAGAGGGAGAGTCTGGACATGACCCAGAGTCTGCAAGATGTCTGTTAAAGATCTCTTCATCTGGAAAGCATCTGCGGTGTACAAAAACATCTGACAGATGTCTTTAAGATGTCAGTTTTACATACATTCTAAATCATAAACATCTTAAAGACATCTTCTAAACGTCTATTTGACATCTGATAGGAAATGCCCTA